CGCCGAGCGCCCAGATGACGAGCGCAATGCTGCGAGGGCGGACGGGAGAGCCGTGTCGGCGAGAGGGAAAGAGACGACGAGCGTCAGTATGTGCGCAAGAGCGGGGCGGAGATGCCCGATACGACGTCGCACATTCGTGCGCTTCGTGGATCGCAGAAGAGCGATGAAACGCACCAGACCGTGCCCGCCCAGACTGCACTCGCGACCAACTCTGCCGTTCCAGCCGGCAGATTCCCGAGCATTCTTCCGCCGTCCAGCCAGACTCCAGTTGCCTTCGTATGCTCGAGACTCACTTCGGCGAGCTGGAGGATGGCGAAAGCGCCTTGGCCGCACGCGCCGAGCGGGAGGAGGACGGAGAAGATTTCGGTTGCGAGGGGAATCTGCGCGGGAGAGGGCGATTGAGCGGAAACGACAGTGTGAGCGAACGAAAGCGACGGTGTAAACAGGCGGAGAGTGTCGTCGTCAGCGAGTTCTGAGGACGAAAGGAGACAGCAGGCGAACCTTGTGCACGGCCATGCGGAGGTACAGCAGGCCCATGATCATCACGGCGACCGGTACCGAGCTCCAGAGCATGTACCTGCAAGCTCAAAGGTCGCGTGAGCGGCATTTTCGGACACAACAGTGTCGGAGCGACTCACGAGACGACAATCGTCAACCGAGCCTGCGACGGCGGCAGAACTGCGGCAACGATTCCGCCGGTAGCGCTCGCGACGTTCGGCGCGACGATAGGGAGAAGCCATGCCGGCGAGACCGTGTTGAGTGTGGAGGCGTGCTGGTGGCGCGTGAAGACGAAGAATCTGCGCGTGGAGCGGAAGTCAGCGCGAACGTTTTCACTGAACAATGAGGAGGATACGCACGGAACGCCAATAGCGATGATAACTGAGATAGCTGCGTCGACCCACCACAGCGACCAGGCGAGCCAGATCCATCTGAAGAAGCGAGAAGTCAGCGACCTCCGCGAGATGGGGCGTACTTCGGTCGAGATTCAGCTTCTCACCTTCCGCCCCATCGCTCAGCGGCGACGAAGACCGTCATGTTGACAATCGTGGCGAAGCCCATCGGGAAGCAGCCGAGGAAGAGGCTCTGGACCGGGTGATAGAGCATCGCAGACAGCACAGTGGGGAAGATGCAGTATCGAGCGCTGCGGCGTGTCGAGCGTATCAGCAGGGACCCAGCGCACGAGGGAAAGTCGAGCGCACATCGACATGAGCAGGAAGAGCGAGAACAGCACGACGTTCAGAAGCCAGATCGCAATGGCAATCTCCTTGAGCCCGTTGAACGAGTAGGGTAGGTTGTAGAGCAGGATGGACGAGATGCCGGTGCCCATGCTGAGGCGGAAACAGCGGGTCAGCCCACGTTAGATACGAAGGAGGGATGGAGGGCGAGCGCACTTGACGACAAACCAGCTCGCTGCGGGAAAAGGCAGTGCGTCAGCGGCGCCGCAGCTTCATAGCAGGCTACTTCAGGCTGCAAGTGAAGCGAACGAAGGGCAGGACTCACGAGTAAAGTGAAGGATCCGCCTCCTCAACCCGCTCGCGAACCTCACTCGTCCCTCATTCGATCCGTTTCCGTCCGCCGTGATCTCCTCGTCTATGCTCAGTTCCTCCGCTGGTGCTCGTGTAGTCGGCGCGGCGGTGGAAGCCATGCGTGGCGTGATCTGTCGAAAGTCGGGAGCGGGAGGTCGGGATGAGGTAAGAGAGCGACGTAGGCGGTAAGCGGCAAGACAAGGCTTCTCAAGCGTGCCTTGAGCAGGTGA